TGATGAATGAAGCTTCAATTCGAAACAAACAGTAGGGATTGTTGTCCATAGGCATTGTGCTTCTTCAGGATAACACACTACACTTCTGCATGCTGCTGCATTGACAAAGAACTTGCTTCAGCAGTTTAAGTGGAAAGTTTTTGAACATCCTTCTTATAGCCCGGACTAAGCTCCGAGTGATTACATCTTTTCCCAAAATTGAAGGATTTTTTAGCCAGGAATTACTATGGAAGTGACAACGAACTGAAAGAGGCCGTTAATGACTGAATCAAGAACTTGGTGGTAACTAAGTGTGCAGAAGGCATAGAAAAGCTGATGATAAGCTGATACGCTAAGACAAATGTTTAAATTTGTATGGCAACTATGTAGAAATATAGCTAAGGTATCATATGTGTTGTAAAATAGGTTTTGTTTCATTATCTTAAATAAAAATATCTAGAGAAACAAATGTTCTTTACTTTTAGAATGATCCTCGTATAATATTGTATATAGTAAATCGTTTTGTTCTGAGATTTATATTCCATTTAGACAGATTTCTCTTTTGCAGAAAATTCATTTAGACAAGTTGTACTGTATGAACTGTTATATTTATTTCATTATAGTTATAAACATTGTTTTATTATTTGTATTTCTTCTAATTTAAAATCATATTTTTAAAATGAATTTTAAATTTAAAATATTAAGATAGAAATATTTAAAATTATTGCTTATGTAGGTCTATTAATTCAGTATATTTAGAACATCTAGGCTATTTGATATTTTACAGTTATCTATAAATGTATATAATTTTTTTTTTTTGAGTTACAATGTTTACAACCAATGATTATTTATTGAAAGAAATATACAACTTATAGTTTGGCTGTGTATGTATTCACTTTTATTTATTGATCTAAAACTTAGAATTATAGTCATGTTTTATGTGATATGTATTATTGTTAATTATAGTTTGCTTTCTGGTTTTAATAATAATATAAAGTTTTATTTAAATTATTATATATTATTATAAAAGATTACTTTATTATTTTAATGTTACTTTTTCTTTCAGATATGGGTAAGGCGTTTACTTCGTCTCTGTGCCTTGGTTAGCCTGGTATCTGTTAGTTTGAATACCACAAAGACCTTTGAGAAGTATCAGTCGTTAATTTATATCACATTTTGTTGTGATTTGTTTGTTACTTTTTTGTTTTCTGCGGAAATGATTGCCAAAATGCATATTAGAGGTGTGATCACTGTAAGTATATTTAAGAACACCCAGTAAATGTATCTATACAAATGAAGTTGAATTTGGGTTTAGCAGACATTCTTGGGACCAGATATCTGTTAAAAATTGCTATATGTTTTACAATATCTGATAGTTTTATACACAATTTTGTTTTTAAAAGAATGTTTGATAAGAAGAGAATTCAGAAATAACCAAAGAATTTCTGAAATTATAGGGTTATTTTTAGCTGGTAATTATTAGTTAGCATAATTTAGTACTAGAAGTGTTAAGTGCCGTTTTACTATATAAATTTATGATTAACTAATTTAGAAAAATATAAAAGACTTCTTTTATATTTTTCTAAAGATCATGCATGGAATGGGGGACTCAAAATTATAACTACCACAAGCTTAGCAAATAACATCACCAATTATGCTGTCTTGGTTTCCCAAGTAGGATATTTCCCATTTTTCTAATAAGTGACTCGTTTTCTTTTTCAAAATTCTTTGAATTTTTTAAATCCTCCTTCCATTATGTGAAGGTAGCTGGGTGACGGTCCAGGTGCCACTGTGAGTTTCTATGATGGTCTTTCCTTCTGACAATGAGTTTGAGCATTTTTCTTGAATGGCAATAATGTGGTCTCATATGTGAGACTAGGGGTAAGAGGATGGAGCAAGAAATGATGAGATTCAGTTGGAAAGTAGTCACTCAAAACAATTCACTACACTTAAATTAAACATTTATTAGACAGCACAAAAGTTGGTACAACACATTACATAGGGTATTTGCATTTTGTGGAGAGAGACAGATTACAAATTTTTGGTACCTCACAAATCAGAACTAGAATTCCCATTGAGGATCTTGAGAATGTAGTCCTTCAGTTAACAGTTCAGGGGAAAAGCAGCAAATAAAGGAATGATGAGGAATCTGAGGGTACAGAAGAGCACCAATCCAAAACAGCACACAAACACACTAAACTGAACAGTTGAAATAACAAGCAACAACTAACTACTAACTAAAATCAGCTGTTACTTGGTCTCTTGCAATTATGTAAGGGAGTGTTGGTGTCAATGTTTAATGCAAAAAGATGGGAAATATTTGTCTGTTATCTGCATAGGGCAGTGTTTACTTATTCAAGATAAAAACGTGTCAATAGTTCTATTACTATGTGAGAAATAGATGTTTTATCTACTAAACATGAGTGTTCACTAAACCCAGGATTCACTGTATATAAATGTGTATGCATGTATGTATATATATAGCATTTATTATTTTTTATTATAGGGTGAAGTCCCATATTTAAAAGATAGATGGTGTCAGTTTGATGCAACTATGGTGTTNGTATTTTAATAAAAAATTTTTTCAATTTAAATTATTCTATTTGGATATTTATTAAAATGTTTCTCAAAATAATACTGTAATAGAAAGCTGTCAAGTTTATTAATCAGTTGAAATTATAGCATTTTTTGGATGATATAATGCAATAATTAATATCATACTATAGATTATTTAAATTGTTCTAAAGCACAGGATAGACTTAAAAGAGCTTCCATATTAAAAATAAATATTATTTGCATTACCAGGGCTGTCTAATTTGAGAGTACATAACAAATTATATGCATATAATATATTGTATTCATAAAATAAATCAATTTAAGATTCAAATTTTTTTTCCATATTAATATTTATAAATCATGGAGTACTACACACTTCTGATGATCCAATAAGTAATTCCTACCATGTGGCTATAGTATTTGTGATTGCACTGCTAAAAAGTGCAGTGCTATATCAAACATTTCATTGTATCATGAGATGCAGCTGTCAAACAAATGATATTGTTCTCAGAATGGGAGATGACACTGCAGTGTTAAACAGTGCTGTTTGCAGAGGGGTGAACAGCACAATGTATTTTATATGTATTTGTAAGGTAAACATTGTCAGTTAAATAACATTTTTGTAAGTACAGTAATACCCTGAACTTGCATGATAGGTGGGACTGAGCGATAACTGCGTAAGTCGAATTCGCATAAGTTGGAGTATAATTTCGCAATTTGTGTAAAATCCAAATCAGATGTATGTAAGCTAATAAATGTTTTCATTAATCTTATCTCATCTTTTGATTCGTTCACAGTTACAAGAAATCCCCACATAGTCTCTCAAGTCTCCATAGATATAACAAACACAGATATAAATAACACAAAATAAATTGTAGCTATGTGTCAATTCCGCACAACATATCTGAACATGTAAGATGAACAATAGCGTGGGGGGAGTGAGTAATCAAGAGTTGCGTGGCGCTCAAACAAAAGACAAATTGACGAGATTTGAAAATTGCGTAACTCCGGGTTCACGTAAGTCACGGTATTACTGTACAACTCGAATATATTTTTGGTATATTGTTTGAATTTTAATCAATAACTTATGAAAACATTTATTATAGATTAAAAAAAACTTAAATATACACATACATAACAAGGAAACTTTTACTGAACAAATGTTTTAACTTTAGAAATATAGTGGCTATCAGATAAAATAATTTTATGATTAACCTTTAACAACAACAGTTTTCTGATAGCCTGTAGAAGTTTTTGATTTAATAATGAATTTATTTTTAAAATTAAATACATATTTATTTAAAATTTGAAAATAAAATATTCAATAACCATTATAAGTTCAAATAATAATTTTTACATTGTTTTAAAAGTTTTGATTTCATTAAAAAATTTAACACAAATGCATATGTAAAGTTTTATTATACAAATGTGAGAAGAGGAAAGCATATAAGTAATGGACCAAAAGTATGGACCTAAAGTATGGACCAAAGAAAACCTCACTTTTTTATTTTTTACAAATTAAAAAAGTATGACACAGGTTTATGGATATGATACTCAATAGCCATTAACAAGGTTACAATATTCTTCACAGAAGAATGGTTGCATACATAATTTCAATACATACAAAGTGACAGTCTACAAAATAATTATACAGAAACACAAAATTCCCAACAATAGGACAATCACATAAATAAAATATTTTATGACTCATAATACAAGCTATCATCTGTACACTTTCCCTCACTTTTTTAAACTCACATTTCCTTATTTTTCTTTTCTCTTTGCATGTTTCTCTTGCTTAACCTCTCAGCCAGAACTGCCATTACTCCCTCATCTTTTGTTTGCTTAATCTCATTTCCTTGCCCAAGAGCAGTAACAGACCCTGGAGAACTTAGTCCCAGTTCTTCAAGTTCAGGAAAATTTGATACAAAGCACATGTAAAGTATATGATTACAGGACAACTCATTCACAGTCATATATGGTTTTTGTTTTAAAATATTCTTAGTTAACATTTAAAAAATGATGATAAACTAATTACTTGTTTAATTGTTTATTATATTTAAGAAATTTGTCTTGTATGTTTATCAGGTTTTCTGTGAGACATTAATTGTTAATTTTTATCATATGTAGAGCATGTGTTCAACTGATACAAACTAGATACCCTATACTGATTCTGATGTTATCTCACATATAGCAATACTAACTGCAATTGAAATGTATTAGTATCATTAAAAAATTGTTTTATATTCTATTTATAATGTTACAGTTCAGAGAAAGAGTAATAAAATATAAGCATAAATTTTTGTACGTTTTCTAAAAGAACCTGGTAAAAAGTTTTTAATATTTTTACAGTTCTTAAAATTAATTATAAAAATTACAATAATAATAAAATATAGTAAATAAAACATCATAAATAATATTTTATATTTAAATATCATTTAACTATATATTTTTTTTTCCTTCAGAAAATGATGTTAGGTCGTAAGCAGAGTATGAGAGGGGAGGTGACCTTGGCTGATTATGGACCAGATGAAACATTGAATGAAAATACTGATATAGAATGGGTGAATATGGTTAGTTTTATTTTTATTACTCATTTAAATTTATCATAAAATTTTGATAGTTTATGAAATTGACTTCATAAATTATTATTTTAAGTCAATTATTATTATTCACAAATTATTATTTATGAAGTATAGTTTATGAAATTGACTTCATAAATTATTATGAAATTGACTTCAGAAATTATTATTTTAATTTTTCCAATTGTATAAATTTATAGTAGTTAATTTATTTTTCTCACAGATAAAAAAAATAACAATAATAATTTATTACAGCTTTGTGTGTTTTGTTTTTCACTTGTGTTTTTTAATTTATTCCTAATATATTTATTTTTTAAAATCTATTTTAGTGACACCTTAATTGTCTCATTGGGCTGTAATTTAAAAAAATTGTAGACCTATAAATTCCCATTGTCATCTGTCTGTCTTTACTTAATCTTGAGAATGGTGTTAGATAAATAAAATTTAAGAGCAAATATGGAAAGCTTAGGGAGCAGAGACCCCATTTAACTATAAACAAACTTCTGATGCAACCAAAAGTCATGTTTTGGATGCATCAGAACAAAGACGCTAACTTTGCTTGGGCCACCAGTGCATATGACTAATATCATAGTTTGTGTGCATAATTTTATATGTTATAAACATTTTTTTAAAAATAATAATAAATTGAATAATTATTTTATTTATTCAGTTTACAATTATTTTATATTTAAAAATTTATCAATTAAAGTATTAAATTTGTTGGTTTACAAATATTTTTTCCACTTGACTTTCTTTAATTCTGAAAATTAACAACTAAAAGAGGAAGTCTTAAAGGCTGATGCATATAGGTGGCAAAATTAAGATGACATTGACATTAACAATTACTGATACCAGTCACCTCTTTTGACTTTCACAATTTAAATGGGTGATTGGTTGATGATTGAGCCTGTTGTTCACATTCAATGTTGCCTTAATTTTGTTACCTGTGTGAATTTGCATCCAACTTAACAAAGCAGTCTTTAAAGTTAATGTAATGATGAATAAAAGGTAAATGATTGTGAGGATTTTATAAATTGAAACTACAGTAATTTTATAGTCTGTCTGTGTGAGAAAGACATTTCAAAGAAATGTAATGGCATCCAGGGTCATCAAGAGCTTGTAAGAGGCCCAGGAATAGAGTGGATCCTTTTTTTTTTTTAACAAAGTAAAAACATGGAATGTTTCTTTAAGACTGTTTTTGTCAATAAAGAAACAAAGATTTAATTTTTTTAATCTATTTACAGCAACAAACCCTCTCAATGGGATCCCAATATCATAAATCTTGCAAAAGTACAGTCGACCCCCCTATAATTACGATTCCTATAAAACTACGAAAAAATTGTGACCGGTATCCGTAAAAAACAGTAAAAATTCCCTATAATTACCTCAAACGTCATCGGGCAGCCGAACTACTTTCCCGCCGTCCGTAGCGCCACGCTACGGAGAGATTTCTATCGTCTGGACAGTATTATATAAATTATATATAAATTAGGTACTGTACATATAATTATATATTAANTTGTTATTTCAACTGTTCAGTTTAGTGTGTTTGTGTGCTGTTTTGGATTGGTGCTCTTCTGTACCCTCAGATTCCTCATCATTCCTTTATTTGCTGCTTTTCCCCTGAACTGTTAACTGAAGGACTACATTCTCAAGATCCTCAATGGGAATTCTAGTTCTGATTTGTGAGGTACCAAAAATTTGTAATCTGTCTCTCTCCACAAAATGCAAATACCCTATGTAATGTGTTGTACCAACTTTTGTGCTGTCTAATAAATGTTTAATTTAAGTGTAGTGAATTGTTTTGAGTGACTACTTTCCAACTGAATCTCATCATTTCTTGCTCCATCCTCTTACCCCTAGTCTCACATATGAGACCACATTATTGCCATTCAAGAAAAATGCTCAAACTCATTGTCAGAAGGAAAGACCATCATAGAAACTCACAGTGGCACCTGGACCGTCACCCAGCTACCTTCACATAATGGAAGGAGGATTTAAAAAATTCAAAGAATTTTGAAAAAGAAAACGAGTCACTTATTAGAAAAATGGGAAATATCCTACTTGGGAAACCAAGACAGCATAATTGGTGATGTTATTTGCTAAGCTTGTGGTAGTTATAATTTTGAGTCCCCCATTCCATGCATGATCTTTAGAAAAATATAAAAGAAGTCTTTTATATTTTTCTAAATTAGTTAATCATAAATTTATATAGTAAAACGGCACTTAACACTTCTAGTACTAAATTATGCTAACTAATAATTACCAGCTAAAAATAACCCTATAATTTCAGAAATTCTTTGGTTATTTCTGAATTCTCTTCTTATCAAACATTCTTTTAAAAACAAAATTGTGTATAAAACTATCAGATATTGTAAAACATATAGCAATTTTTAACAGATATCTGGTCCCAAGAATGTCTGCTAAACCCAAATTCAACTTCATTTGTATAGATACATTTACTGGGTGTTCTTAAATATACTTACAGTGATCACACCTCTAATATGCATTTTGGCAATCATTTCCGCAGAAAACAAAAAAGTAACAAACAAATCACAACAAAATGTGATATAAATTAACGACTGATACTTCTCAAAGGTCTTTGTGGTATTCAAACTAACAGATACCAGGCTAACCAAGGCACAGAGACGAAGTAAACGCCTTACCCATATCTGAAAGAAAAAGTAACATTAAAATAATAAAGTAATCTTTTATAATAATATATAATAATTTAACAGTACAACTATTAAATTAATATATCTTGTATTTATTATTATTATGTACAGTACATGTAATATATAAACATTTCAAAGCTTGATAATTATATTAAAGCCAAACAATTACTGGATTAAAAATCAAGCTACATTGGTGCTACTATTAATAATTAAATACTGAGTAATTTGGCACCATCTCTTATCAAAATTAATAATTACAAATTAATATTTATTAAATAATTTAGAAAATTCTGAAAGAAAAGAATTGGCCCAGAGCATGACTTGAACCTGGCAACTGCCACTTACCATGCAAATTAAATATGTCTGGAAGCAAGGTCCAGATAGCGTGACTAGTCACGCTATCTGGACCTTGCTTCCAGACATATTTAATTTGCATGGTAAGTGGCAGTTGCCAGGTTCAAGTCATGCTCTGGGCCAATTCTTTTCTTTCAGAATTTTCTAAATTATTTAATAAATATTAATTTGTAATTATTAATTTTGATAAGAGATGGTGCCAAATTACTCAGTATTTAATTATTAATAGTAGCACCAATGTAGCTTGATTTTTAATCCAGTAATTGTTTGGCTTTAATATAATTATCAAGCTTTGAAATGTTTATATATTACATGTACTGTACATAATAATAATAAATACAAGATATATTAATTTAATAGTTGTACTGTTAAATTATTATATATTATTATAAAAGATTACTTTATTATTTTAATGTTACTTTTTCTTTCAGATATGGGTAAGGCGTTTACTTCGTCTCTGTGCCTTGGTTAGCCTGGTATCTGTTAGTTTGAATACCACAAAGACCTTTGAGAAGTATCAGTCGTTAATTTATATCACATTTTGTTGTGATTTGTTTGTTACTTTTTTGTTTTCTGCGGAAATGATTGCCAAAATGCATATTAGAGGTGTGATCACTGTAAGTATATTTAAGAACACCCAGTAAATGTATCTATACAAATGAAGTTGAATTTGGGTTTAGCAGACATTCTTGGGACCAGATATCTGTTAAAAATTGCTATATGTTTTACAATATCTGATAGTTTTATACACAATTTTGTTTTTAAAAGAATGTTTGATAAGAAGAGAATTCAGAAATAACCAAAGAATTTCTGAAATTATAGGGTTATTTTTAGCTGGTAATTATTAGTTAGCATAATTTAGTACTAGAAGTGTTAAGTGCCGTTTTACTATATAAATTTATGATTAACTAATTTAGAAAAATATAAAAGACTTCTTTTATATTTTTCTAAAGATCATGCATGGAATGGGGGACTCAAAATTATAACTACCACAAGCTTAGCAAATAACATCACCAATTATGCTGTCTTGGTTTCCCAAGTAGGATATTTCCCATTTTTCTAATAAGTGACTCGTTTTCTTTTTCAAAATTCTTTGAATTTTTTAAATCCTCCTTCCATTATGTGAAGGTAGCTGGGTGACGGTCCAGGTGCCACTGTGAGTTTCTATGATGGTCTTTCCTTCTGACAATGAGTTTGAGCATTTTTCTTGAATGGCAATAATGTGGTCTCATATGTGAGACTAGGGGTAAGAGGATGGAGCAAGAAATGATGAGATTCAGTTGGAAAGTAGTCACTCAAAACAATTCACTACACTTAAATTAAACATTTATTAGACAGCACAAAAGTTGGTACAACACATTACATAGGGTATTTGCATTTTGTGGAGAGAGACAGATTACAAATTTTTGGTACCTCACAAATCAGAACTAGAATTCCCATTGAGGATCTTGAGAATGTAGTCCTTCAGTTAACAGTTCAGGGGAAAAGCAGCAAATAAAGGAATGATGAGGAATCTGAGGGTACAGAAGAGCACCAATCCAAAACAGCACACAAACACACTAAACTGAACAGTTGAAATAACAAGCAACAACTAACTACTAACTAAAATCAGCTGTTACTTGGTCTCTTGCAATTATGTAAGGGAGTGTTGGTGTCAATGTTTAATGCAAAAAGATGGGAAATATTTGTCTGTTATCTGCATAGGGCAGTGTTTACTTATTCAAGATAAAAACGTGTCAATAGTTCTATTACTATGTGAGAAATAGATGTTTTATCTACTAAACATGAGTGTTCACTAAACCCAGGATTCACTGTATATAAATGTGTATGCATGTATGTATATATATAGCATTTATTATTTTTTATTATAGGGTGAAGTCCCATATTTAAAAGATAGATGGTGTCAGTTTGATGCAACTATGGTGTTTTTTCTTTGGATATCTGTAATTCTTCAAGTAATATAACTAATACTTCATTTTTATTATTATTAATATCAATTATAAGTATATGAAGAATTTTTTATGAGAATTTTAAATAAAATAATTTTTAGATTAATAAATTTAATAAATGAATTCTTAAGTGTAAAACTATATTAAAGACTACCTTTTTTATTAAATTTCATGAAAGCCAATGTATTTAATTTTTTATACCTTATATGAATATTGATTATGCACATCAGTTAGTATTGGACTAATAAGTTTATAACTAATATGTACATCTTGTCAATCCTGAAGCATTTATTAGAGATTCAAAAGAGTTTGTCAGTTTGATTATTAAACATATAAAGACATTTTATTTTATTTAAATAAAATTAAATTGTTACTAATTAAAAAATATTGTTTTTCATATCATGTGAATTATATCATACTTAGGTATTTGAAATTACCCACGTAGTGCCAAAGTTCTCTTATTTGTCCATCTTGCGAGCTCCTCGACCTTTGATCATGATTCGTTTCATAAGAGTATTTTTAAAATTTTCTATGCCAAAATCAAGAATTAATCAAATATTTAAGTAAGTAATGACCTTTTCTCTAAATACAATTACTGTAATTGGATATTTATAATTAACAATATAATTAATATCTTATTTCACAAAAAAGAAAAATATTTCTCAATCTCTTAAGATTGAGAAAAATATTTTAGTGCTTTTGTCTCTAAGACAACAGAGAAATGTGTAGTACATGAATATTTATAATAAATTGAATGGTAATTAATATTTTATTTAAGAGTTTTATTGATAAAAAATTAAAATATCAATTAGTTTTAATCTCTCATAGAAATAGAATAAGTTTAAATTGATAATCTTGTGAGAATTTATCAATTACCAGATTATAATATAATAATACTATTAGTAATTTTACTTTCTTGGCTATTATAGGATATGACATAGGTAAAGTATGGTGATTGGCCAAATTTTGGTCCTCCGGTTTTTTTCATTTCTAGGCATTTTGACACTTTAGAAGTGCAAAAATGTAAAAAAAGTTCTTACAAACTTCTGTGTCTGTTTGCCTGTTAGCATCTAGTTTGCATTATATCTCAAGACTGAATGAGCTAAAAATTTTGAAACTTGACAGATTTATTTCTATTGCTTACCCAACACAGTGTAGTGCAACTTAACGAAGAAATAGCAATAGAAACTAAGCAATAGAAATAGAACATGACACGGTTTCAAGAAGATAATAAAGATTTATTTCTGTATATTAGGCACTGATGATATTAAATTTTGATAGTTAAAGGTCAAGGAGGTGGGAAGATAAAAGGGGGGTCATTTGTCATATCTTGAGTGGTGCCAGAATTAATGAAAATTTTACTTATTATTAGCATTTATAATTTTTTTAAAAATACATTTCTACCTCAAATATAAGCCTTTTGCATTTTTATGATCATGAATAATGTAAAAATTATTTTATAATGAAATCTTATAATAGATGGTGTCACATATAATTTCAACTTTGTAGCTTATTAATGCTGGGAAAATCATGTAAGAGACCTTGCCAGCTTTATTTTTTTATTTAGCTGTTTTCATTTTAAGTTGTTGATTATTGAACATTGAGTTTTTGATTTTACAAGAAGTGTTTTAATATATGCTTTAATGAAGTTCACATTTATTTAACAAGTTACTCTAACACTTTCAGACAACTGAGTTCCTCATCAGGTAGTTTACAAATGAATTCAGGAGTTTATTGGTTTTGTTATAAACCTTAAAGAAGTTTGACTTATATTAACATAATAATTAATGCAAAAATATTAATTTTTTGAGAAAAATATTTTGTCTGCCTACACCAAATTTTCAGAGTTAATGTAAATGTAACTACCATAAACTGTTAGTGAGTTTCCTAAGTTGGTTACTTTTTTCTTTGATAATATTTTATAATACATTANATATATTAATTATATATAAATTAGGTACTGTATATATAATTATATATTAACTTATTGTAACTTTGTTATAATTAAATATATAATTTCCACCGTCTAGCGTGGCACCACGCTACGGAGATTTTTATGCTAACTATCGTCTGTACAGTATGTAAATTAGGTACCGTAAGTCTAATACAGTACTGTAATTTTATACATTTCTTGTGAAAGAAACATTTCTTATTCAACGGCGATTAAAATTATTTATATTAATGATGTCTCCGAAGTTCAAGGAACTATTCTCAGAAAAATAAGTTATTAGAAATCGGCCGCTGTATGCTGAGCTGTTCCGCGACAAAAACAATGTTGAGCAATGGTGATGTTGAATGGTGACACTCGGTAAGTAATCCTACAATTTTTTGTTTATAGCGTAGTCTATACGGATTATTCCCAAAAAAAAATATACGTATTTTGGAAATGTTGAGTCGGATTAGTCTAGAATCGATTAATTTTATGGAAGAAAATCTTTCAAACAGCCGTAGTCCGTAAACTAGATACATGTCGGGTTGTGATTGGAAGGATTCGTAAGAAATCGGATTCCTAAAGAATGGAACGTATCTCTCTATCTTATAGGGGGGTCGACTGTACTACAAGAAATTTATTTTTTATTAGTAAAAAGTAACATTAATTTATAGCAGTGGGAACAACTACAGCCCTTAAGTTTTACCCGGAGGTAGAGAAAAATCCCTAGCTCTCCCCCTCAATGATCCTGACAACATTAAATAGAAGAAACTTGTTTTTGTAAATATGTATGTTTGAGACTTAGGATAGGATACAATGTAATACTGAAACAGTTTTACTTACAGTGAATAATTATTTCACTGTAAGTAAAACTGTTATTAATTTAATTTTTGAATTGGAATTTCTCTTGCACATTTAGTTAGCAAGTTTTTTATTTTTCATAATGCTTACATTTATAGTTTGAAAAAAATATTTTAAGATAATTTGGTTTTAGAAATTTGAACAAATGAAAGTGAAATGCCAGTGATCAATCAAGGAAAGATGAACTACAATGATGGTGGTTGGTATGAAAGATTAAGAAGATATTACCCTTAATCGTTTTCTGGAAAAAGTCCATGTCTCTGTTGTTTAAACATGTACAGTGGTACTTCAGTACTTGAACTTAATTTTTTCCAGAAGGCTGTTTAAGTGCTGAACAAATTTTTCCTTTAAGAAATAATGTAAATTAGATTAATCAATTCCAGACCCCCAAAAATACACTTATAAAAACATTTAAAGTAGAATTTAACACAAATTTAACAAGAAGTTTACAAGCCTAATATGCATAAATTGTAAAAAAACCTAAACATAATAAATAGATGGAGTAAGGTAAAGTGAAAATACTGGTGGTCAAATTAACTATAATATAATATAGGCTTTAATATAATATAATTATATTATATT